TATATATACACATATATAATCAGGAAACCAAAAACAAATATGTGAAGGAATATGCGGCTATGTACACATTGGATTGCAGCTAGTCCCGTGAGAGTTGGCATGCACGCGCGTTCGTGTTACTCCGACTGCAGTGCCGTGTGCTGATGTAGTGTGTGCGCGCCAATGTAGCTTCCCGCCTCGCTGAAGTCACTGACCGAAACCGCCATTTTGGCACTTGTGATGTGATGCGTGCGGCCCTCGAAATCTACGCCCATGTTCCTGTTGTCGTTTAAGAACGGCTCCGACAGGCCCATCTTCAGCCGCTTGGCCGGGGGCCGCTCGCAGTCCTCTCCGCACACGCTGATCTGCCCGAGGTCCGAGTGGTAGAAGCCGGTTTCCAGCAGGTTGAGGCAGTCTCCGTCGCTGGAGTAGTTGAGTGGCTCTTCGTGACTCAGGGGCCCGCGGTGCAGCCCGTCCAGCGAGGAGAAGCAGTCTTTCACAATTTCGGGAAACAAAAAAAACGACCATAATGCAGTCCAATTGTCTTCATTGCAATAAATACGCCAAACGCCGACTGGTAAAGCAAGAGGAACACTAATAAATATGCGCAGAAATAGAAAAAGCACACGTCGTAATACCTCTATTGTATTTAGGGCCTATGTATTTGCTAGAACCACTTGCAATTGTTCGTAGGTTTGTTTTTGCAGTCCATCAAAACGGCAGAAAATCTCCCAGGGCTGAACTTTCCGGGTTCTTGTGCTCGAATGGTGCAAAATGAAACGAAGAAGTGGTCGTAAATGCCTTTCAGACGAAGGGTGAGCTGTAAACACTGATGGGAACCACAGAGGAGAGGCCGAGCTGACAGCCAGTCGTCATGATGGCTTAGAAAAACCCCTTGCTGTCGGCTGAAGTATGCCAGTTCAAGTTTTCCACAGTATTCGGACACGCTTATGACACTTCCAAAAATTCAAGACTGGAAAATAAATGGCTGTATTAACTCTTGAGAAATCAAGATTTAGGTCTGTACAATTAGACATCACTGATGTCATAGTAAAAAAAAAAAAAGATCTAAAAGAATCAATCTGTACACATATTTATACGCCAATGTAGCTTCCCGCCTCGCTGAAGTCACTGACCGAAACCGCCATTTTGGCACTTGTGATGTGATGCGTGCGGCCCTCGAAATCTACGCCCATGTTCCTGTTGTCGTTTAAGAACGGCTCCGACAGGCCCATCTTCAGCCGCTTGGCCGGGGGCCGCTCGCAGTCCTCTCCACACACGCTGATCTGCCCGAGGTCCGAGTGGTAGAAGCCGGTTTCCAGCAGGTTGAGGCAGTCTCCGTCGCTGGAGTAGTTGAGTGGCTCTTCGTGACTCAGGGGCCCGCGGTGCAGCCCGTCCAGCGAGGAGAAGTTGTAGGAGTCCAGACAGCTGACGTCTGCAGGGTTACACACCGACGCCACCGTGCTCGTCAGCGCTGGAGGAAGAGGAAAAGGTTAGACTCATCTGCTCACCAAGGCTGCACTTATTGGATCAAAAATACAGGAACTAATTTGAAATATTATTGCAATTTAAATAACTGTTGTCTATGTGAATAGAAAGTTCAAAAGAACAGCATTTATTTGAAACAAAAAAACTTTTGTATTAAATGTATCTACTGTCACTTTTGATCAGTTTAATGCATCCTTGCTCAATAAAAATAATTCTTACAAAAAAACAAAACACTTACCCCACCCCAAATTCAATTCGATGCGGGTTTATTCAGAAAGATTGAAACTAAAAGACGATGCTGTGCTGACTATATTGGATCCAACAGTAATGTCGTGTGTGAGTAACTGTTTGTAAAAAAAGATCATTTGATATGTTCTGAGTATTTAAGCGTTTTCAACTTAAATCACAGCAGTGTTCATCTGTGAAGGATGTAGGCTGTCAAACATACACAACTATTAGCCAATCATAGCAGTGGGCATTTACTTCAGAGTCTACAATCTGCCAAGCCTATTCAAACAGAGTGTTTTGATGAGGGGGGTCAAAAACAGGACAGAAAATAGCCTATTCTAAATTGTTTTTTGATGTAAAAATCTTGATAACATTATAAGTGGACCTCCGAGAACAATACAAAATAAATAAAGAGTCCATGACCCCTTTAACATGTTATGAAGTGCAATTTATTTCTGTGATGGCAAAGATGAATTTTCAGCAGCCATTACTCCAGTTTTAAGTGTCACATGATCCCTCAGAAATCATTTTAATATGCTGATATGCAGTTCAATAAACATTTGTTATTATAATTAATGTTGCAGACAGTTGTGCTGCTTAATATTTTTTGTTGAAACCGTGTGAAAAAGAACAGAATAATGTTCAAAAGAACACAATTTATTTGACCGAAATGTTTTGTAACATTATAAATGTCTCTACTGTCACTTTTGATCAGTTTAATGCATCCTTGCTCAATAAAAATAATTCTTACAAAAAAACAAAACACTTACCCCCCCCCAAATTAATGTGAGCTGATTTGGAAACTTTTTTTTTTTTTTACAATATTTAATCAAAAGGAATTATAAACATTTATAAGATATTTATTTTGGTTAAATATAATAAAAATGATAATATATATAAATATTTTTTATAATAAATACATATTTATAATTTTTTACAATAATCAAATGAAATTATAAACAGTTATAATTTATTTTGATTAAAAATAAAAAATTATAATAATTTATATTTAATATAATGTGTAATAATGTGAGCAGATTCCTCAATTTTTTTTTTTTCAATATTTAGTCAGATATTGTTAGCAGGGCTCCAGACAAAAAAAAAAAATCACTTAAGGAGTCATTGGCTCCTATTAAGAAAAAAATTAGGCACGTAGTGCTGAAACCCTAATGTAATTGTAAGGATTTTATTTATTTATTCTTTTTTTTATTATTCTCCGGTAAAACTGATTGTGCAGCCCAAACCGTAAGGCCTAGAGAGCTGAAACTTGGTCAGTTCGTAGTAGTATTGCTCGCTACTCAGATCCAAAGGCTCGCCCCAAAATTTCATACATTTTTGGCCCTAGCTCGTGAACCGTTTGGAGTCCGGCAGATTTGCTCTACGACGCACGGTTTTCCGCAAAATTGAGTTATGTCCGAAACCTACTTTTGCGAACTAGTCCTAGGTTTTTCGCTCGATCGGAACCAAACCACTGCAGAAATATTCTCTTGACACTGAATATCAATAATTATCAAAAAAATTGAAATTTAGATTTTCGCGCGCAACAGTACGCAAAAAACCTTCTATGCTAACGTTAGCCAATAGCTAGTTGTAGCTATAACTCTTGAACGGAATATCTTCACCAAATTCGGTACACGTGTATGAGCTCAATCTTTGGTCAAATAAAAAAATAATTGCGCAGCTCTGCCACTTGGTGGCGCTATAAGATAGAAAAAAACTAAAACGACTATAACTTCGTAACCGTTGGTCCGATCGACTTGAAAATTGGTATGCAGTGTCTTTGTCTGAAGTGGCACGAGTGTCTATGAGGACATTCTCATAATTTTGAATCGTATCTCAAAAAACATGGCCCCCATTGGCCAAACAAGTTTAAGCACCTATTTGACAAGGTTAACGGAGGTCGATCGGAACGAAACTCGGTGGGCATGTTCAACTCATGGCCCTAAAGGTCTGTAAGAATTTTGAAAGAAATCGAGTTTTATGGCTCTGTAATCACGTGGTGTTTCACACATCCACACAATATGCGTATCATTTGATAGATCTCCTCATAATGAGCAACTTTGCCTCAAGAACCATTGCTGTCAATCAAATAATTCATTAAATATTCACAAATGTGTTAAAAACCTACTTTTGCGAACTAGTCCTAGGTTTTTCCACTCAATCTCGATCAAACCACTGCAGTAATATTCTCTGGAGTCTCCAGATCAATAATTATCAAAAATAAATTTGAATTTTGTCTTTTGGTTATCTATAACGGGCTCTTTTAAAAAATGGGGGGCATGACCAAATATACCCAGAAGCCTATAAAACCTAAACGAAAACTCTAAACTTTACGAAAGTTGGTGAAAACGTGTCAGATGACTCTTAACAAGCATGCAAAGTTTCATGGAGGTCGGACCATAGGTGGCGCTATAACAGTTAAAAAGGCCTAAAAAATACATGATTTCTATGTACTAAACAAATATAAGCTATAATGTTTTTATGATGTAAAATAATTTAGTTTTTCATATATTATTTTCAGACATGAGCAGACCTGTACTCATGTAATTAACGTTACGCATTTAACGAACACCTACAAGCGCGCACTTTGGCAGAATTCAATTCAAATAGTCATCAGCAGCCATTAGTTCGGTAAAATTGAGCATCAGAATGGACACATTTGTTAAGGGAGAAAAACGAAAAGTGGAAAATGCCAGCGAAGGAACACATACAAACAAGAATAGTCACAGCATCAGCAGTGAAGGAGAGTGCTGGACTTTCGGCATCAACTTTCGGTTTGCCCCGCCACTCACTTGAAGATGTTCAGGCAAAAGAAAAACTTTCGGCATCAACTTTCGGTTTGCCCCGCCACTCACTTGAAGATGTTCAGGCTAGAGCCCTGCACGGGCCTCAAATATAGGCCCTAGCCCGGCCCTGGCCCGTGACGTTCAGGCCCTAGCCTAGTGTCCGACAGCTTATCAGAACTACCGGCCCGAGTCCGACCCGAGCCCATCTTTTTTTCTCCCTTCTCCCAAAACAGCTTATACTACTGTTTCAGCGATATTAAAATAGTTCAGTTTTGTATGTAATGGCAAAGTGATTATATTTCATTTCGTTTTTTTATTAAGTTAATTTAGAAAAACGTTTGGAGCATTTTTTTGGTCGGTAAATATTTTTTTTAACGGCTTTCTGCCATCTCGTCTTCAATCAGGAGCGCTTACAAAAATTAACCGAAACTCAGCAAATACATGCCACACAGACATGATAAATATATCTATAGAAAGCTTTAAATTACAAAAAAAATTTTCATTATAATCATAATCCGTAAAGATGCACTTCTGGGGAAGTCGTGGCCTAAGAGAGTCGGACTCGTAACCCAAAGGTTGCGGGTTCGAGTCTCGTACCGGCAGGGATTGTAGGTGGGGGGAGTGAATGTACAGCGCTCTCTTCCACCTTCAATACCACGACTGAGGTGCCCTTGAGCAAGGCACCGAACCCCCAACTGCTCCCCGGGCGCCGCACCAAAAAAGGCTGCCCACTGCTCTGGGTGTGTGTGTGTTCACTACTGTGTGTGTGTGCACTTTGGATGGGATAAATGCTTCTGCCATCTCGTCTTCAATCAGGAGCGCTTACAAAAATTAACCGAAACTCAGCAAATACATGCCACACAGACATGATAAATATATCTATAGAAAGCTTTAAATTACAAAAAAAAATTTCATTATAATCATAATCCGTAAAGATGCACTTCTGGGGAAGTCGTGGCCTAAGAGAGTCGGACTCGTAACCCAAAGGTTGCGGGTTCGAGTCTCGTACCGGCAGGGGTTGGAGGGGGGGG